ATGTTTGCCTGCAACCTTGGGGAGACTTGGGGATCTTCCTCCACACTGAGGGACTTGGATGGACCACTGCTTGGTGATGTAGTGACACAGTGTGGGGGCAGAGACCTGGTCACAGAGCACCCGGTCCTGCTCCAAGGTTGAATCTGTAATGGATTAGTACTTGGAATCTGGAATGGAATCCCAGCTCTGCCTCATACCAGTGAGGTGACCTTGGACACTGACCTCTGGGGCCTTGGTCTTCTCCTCTGTGAAGTGGGTATAGGGTGGTCTGTACATTATGGGTCTGCAGTGGGAATTGAAACAGATGGTAGATGAAAAGCCTAACTCATCACTGGGCATGGAACTAGGCCCTGCCAGAACCCACACTGATGTCATGGTGCCAATGGTGACGGTAATGCCAAGGACAGTGATGCCATCATGACTGATGCTATAGTGGTGTGGTGGTGACGATGGTGGAGATGGTGGTAGGGATGACAGTGATGAGGTGGGGATGATGGTGGTTGGTGATGGTGAGGGTGGTTGTGATGGTGGTGATGGTATTGATGATGGTGGTGATGTTGGTGGTGATGTTGATGGTGGTGGTGATGCTGTGATGGCGATGGTGATGTGATGATGGTAGTGGTGGTGATGGTGGTGATGATGATGGTGATGGTGGTAATGGTGTGATGGTGATGGTGATGATGGTGGTAATGGTGGTGATGTTATGATGATGGTAGTGATGGTGATGATGGTGATGGTGATAATGGTGATGGTGATAATGGTGATGGTGGTGGTAATGTGATGATGGTAGTGGTGGTGATGATACTACTGATCGTGGTGATGTTGATTAATGATGGTGGTGTGTTGTGATGATAGTGGTATTAATGCTAATAGCGGTGATGGTGATTACAGTGGTGACAGCAGAGAAAGGGGCAAGGGTTGTGTTCCTGAAGCATGGCACTCCTGGCTCTTTGCAGTTTCATTTCTCCACATCTATATCATTTTTTTGTTTTTTCTCTACAAAGCCTTGTCAAGGAAGTTAGGAGGAGGGTTGTGCTTTTACAGAGAGGGAAACTGAGGCTCCGTTAACTAGTGCAGTCAGGGATGTGTGTGCTGGGACACAGCAGGCTCTGGATTTTGTCTCTGCTCATGGAGGCCAGTTCAGTCACCACACGAATGCTTGGTGGGCCCACCTGGGGAAGAAGCATCAGGGTTTGATCCTTGGATACCTATCGGGCGGTGGCTCACGGCCATGGAGGTGGGCCAGATGGACCACTAGTGCTGTTACCTGAAGCAAGTCCCATCATCTCTGTGAGGCTCCAACATGGGTTGTTGCTCAGAGGGAAAAGCCACCAGCTGCCTTCCCCACGCCCTCAGGACTTCCAGATGTAGGTACACACAGAGGGCTGGGGACAGGAACCAGGCCAGACGTGGGGCAGAGAGGACTCTGGACTGTATTTGGGTTTTGCGAGTGGGGAGTATGTTAGAGTGGGGTTGGCCTGAGCAGCGGCTGAGGAGTGGGCCAGGGGGCTGTGGTCTGGGGGTTTTGGGAAAGCAAGTCAAAGGGTAGATGCTTGGGCAGTCACTGGAAGCAGGTTTGAGGATAGAGGAGGCCTGGGTGATCCCTGGGAAATGGTCTGGGGAGACAGGTGACAGTGACAATTTTACATAGAGATTAAAGAGCTCTGGTAGCGTAGTGCTTACGAGTCCAGGCTGTAAACTGCAAGGTCAGCAGTTCGAAACTACCAGCTGCTCTGTGGAAGAAAGATGAGGCTTTCTGCTCCCATAAAGATTTACAGCCTTGGAAACCCTGTTCAGGGTCACTATAGGTCGGAACCGACTTGACAGCACTTAACAACAAAAGAGACAGAAAGCAGGTTGATGCACAGTGAACAGAGTCTAGTGGGGAGGGGGTGAACAGGAAGTCCCAGAGACCAGTCCCGCTGGGTTCACTGTATGGCTGTAGGGAGGATTTTTGGATGCTATGTGAGGATGACTTCAGGGCCAACCCAGGTTCAAGTGAGTACCTCTAAAAGACTTCTAAAATATTGCTCAAAACCCACGTCTCCCCTCCTCCACTGGCAGCCTGACTGGCCAACCGTCCCTGCAACCTCTCTGGGCCCCATTCTCCCCTGAGGGCCCGGACCAGAGCCTCCCTCTGTGTCAGCCTTCCTGGGTCTTCCTGCTGCAAAAGGGACCCAAGCTCCTTCTGAGGTACCCTGTACTGAGCCTTTGCAGAGGCTGTTCCTTCTACCCAGTGTGCTCTTCCAGAACATCAACCCATGCCTGCTGCTTCTGACTCTTGCTAGAGTGAGAATGTCTGTCTCTTAAACAAGGGTGATGGGGTTTCCCCATTTCTACCTCCCCTTTATTTATCTGCTTCCCAGCACTTTTCAGGTATCGATTCAGTACATATTTATTGAGACCCAGCATGCTCCAAAGGAGCCCTGGGGTACAATGGTTGAGCACTTGGCTGGTAACCCCAAGGTCAGTGGTTCAAGCTCACCTAACTGCTCTGCAGGAGAAAGACCTGGCGATCTACTTCCATAAAGATTACAGCCTGGAATACCCCGTGGGGCAGTGCCACTCTGGTACATGGGGTCACTGAGATGGAACAACAACAGCATGTTCCAGGCACCATCTCAGATGCTGGGAATGCAGCAGTGAACAGAGCAAATCAAATCCCTGCTCTCTCATAGCAGCGCGTTTTCAAGTCAGGGAGACAGACACCAAATCATAAAGATCTAAATGCATAAATTGCACGGTCGGTCTGATGTGATATGAGCTATGGAGAACCAGGGGATGCCGTCAATTGGTTGTGGGTTTCTCTCCGTGGCTGGAGTGTCGGCTGAATGAGGGTTGGTATTGTACCTAGCCCTGGAGCCTGAATGTAGTAGGTGCTCAGGAAATATTTGTTGGAAAAATGAATGAATCAGCAGGGTCTGACAGAACAGAACCTGGGGAGCTGAAGGAGAAGGTGCCCCAGGGAAAGGGGTGGGTGTGAGCTGAGGTCAGGAGGAGGGTAGCTGCCCTCTGTAGGACTCAAGGAGGCCCAGAGGGGTCATTGGAAGGAACTGTGGGGTCTAAGGCTGGCACAGTGATGCAAAGATATAGAACCACCAGGGAAAGATGTTTGGCAGGTGGGGGGTTGACACGTGGCCGGCTAAGGTACCTAGGAGCTTATGTAAGGCACATGGTTGTTTTTTTGGAACTGAGAGCAAAACTCGAGCTTGGGAGAAAACACTGCTTCCCTGATCAGCCCAGCCCCTGGGAGTTGGAGAAGTGTCCAGAGGAATCAGCTTGGGTGGCTCAGCCCACAGCAGCCTTGGAGGACATGGGATTTGGACCCATCTCCCATCCCCACTGCTTAACATAGCCACTGTCAGGGTTTTAGGGCCCAGGGAACCCTGAAGAGTCATGCTTTCCTAGGTGGGGTCTTGAACGGGCAGTTGCTGCCCTTCTCATTTGTCATTGGCTGCCTGGAGAAGCTCTCGGCTGGAGCAGAACAGGTCTGTCTGTTAGGAGGACCAGCCCAGCTACAGCCAGTTGTTACCAAGTAGGAGGTGCTGTGATTCGACCTGTACATATGACCTAGTTCTACACTTGACTCCGTGTGTAGCTTTGATCTGTCACTCCCTTCTCTGGATCTCTGATAGAATGCTAGAAAGAATGTAATGATGGGGACAGCAAGGCATGAAGCCAAGGGCCAGGTCCTTCTGAGCTTGGGGCCCTGTAGGATGACACAAGCCCATTGGAGTCCTGTCTCTGCTGTTATGTGGCTGTCTGCCTGTCCCATCCCTTCTCTGGGCCGCAGTTTCCCTATCTATAAAGCAAAGAGATTGGTCTCTAGGGTTCTTGGGTCCTCAACTTTGTGAGCACTGTGGAGCTGGGGAGAAGGGAGCTGGTCTCAGCTCAGATGTGACCTCTTCAGAGAAGCCCACCCAGATTCCTCCAACGTACCTGGGTCCTCAGTACTGATCCATATAACACCTGACTTCTGCGTAACATGCGTTGTCTTGGTAATAATGTCTGATTTTACAATGGTTGTTGTTAAAGTGTTGTCGAGTTGGCTCCAACTCATAGTGACCTGTATAGGGTTTCCAAGGCTTTAAATCTTTGCGGGAGAAGGAAACCTTATCTTTCTCCCATAGAGTGGTTGGTGGACTCGATGGTACATCTTGTGGCTCGAAGTCCAGTGCTTATTGTTTTGATGTTGTAAAGTGCTGTTGAGTCGGTTCTGACCCATAGCGACCCTGTACAGGGTTTCCGAGGCTGTAAGTCTTTATGGGAGCAGAAAGCCTCATCTTTCTCCCGTGGAGCAGCTGGTAGTTTTGAACTTCTGACCTTGCGGTTCGCAGCCCGATTCCTAACCACTATGCTACTAGGGCAGTTTTATTCTCCACTTTTCCATGACTCAAACTGAAGCTCAGAAGGGTTGACCAGGCTTGTCCAGTGACCACCTCTCTGGCCCTTCCCAACTCCAGACCCACTGCCATTGAGAGTTGATTCCAACTCATAGCAACCCTATGTTGTTGTTGTTGTTAAGTCCTGTCGATTCAATTCCGACCCATAGCGACCCTGTATAGGGTTTCCAAGGAGCAGCTGGTGAGCTTGAACCACCGATCTTGCAGTTCAAACTGACTTTGCAGTGGGGCGCATTAGCCCACAGCGTCACACCAGGACTCCAGCAAGCCTGTAGGACCGGGTAGAACCGCTCCTTAGAGTGACTGAGACTGTAACCGTCACAGGAGCAGACGGCCTCATTTTTCTAGAACTCATGGAGTAACTGGTGGGTTTGAACCATCGATCCTGTACTTAGCAGCCCAGCGCTTAACCCACTGCACCAACAGGGCTCCGTTCAGTTTTCTCCGGATCCTAACAGAGTGAGGCTGGGGTCTGTGAAGCATGGGGCTGCTCTGTTCTAGCCTCCCCACTCTCCAGCCCTGCGGTGGGAGGCACGTTGGGGCGCCCCACCATGTGCCATGTCTCTGTCTCTCCAGGGCTCCCCACCTAGCGCTGATATGGCTGAGAGCTCCTCACTGCCCGCCTCATCTGCCGAAGCCCCGGCCCCTGAGCCCAGCATCACGGAGCAGCCGGAGCCACAGAGCCCCCCTCCCTCCCCTCCAGGCCTGGAGGAGCCAGTGGATGGAGGTGACCCTGATGTCCCCCACCCCGACCTGGCTCCTGTTGCCTTCTTCTGTCTGCGGCAGACCACCAGCCCGCGGAACTGGTGCATCAAGATGGTGTGTAACCCATATCCTTGGTGTGGTCTAGGTGGGCCCAGGGTGGGCCTTGGGCTAAGCTGTTCCTCTGGTGGGGACGTGAAGGTCTGGGTGAGGCTTCTTGGTCTTGGTGATGTCATGAGGTCCACCGGTGGGCCTGGAGGCTGGACGGAAGGAGACCTGGTGTCCTGCTGATGGGAAGGTTCTGGAAGTTGCTGAGGATGTAGGGATCAACCCCGTGGCTGGCTGGTTCAGAAAGTTCTCAGACACGAGCCCCAGAGAGATAGGTCAGCCTAATTCTTAGGGCCAGCACCCAGCCATAAGTCCACTGGTGGGTACACAGGGCTGATGATAGTGGGCTGAGAGGGCAGTCCATCTGTCCTGGCTCCTCAGGAACCCCCTGCCCTAACCTGCTACCTTCAGTTTTAAACCCCTTTGCAGTTTCCCATTGCCCTTGAGGTATAGAAACCCACTGCCTTGGAGTCACTTTTGACTCCTAGTGACCTTGGAGAACAGAGTAAAACGAGACCCTCAGGGTACTGGAGACTGCCAATCTTGTTCAGAAGCAAAAAAAAAAAAAAAAAAGCCTCATCTCTCTCCCTTGGAATGGCTGGTGGATTTGAACTGCTGATCTTGTGGTCAGCAGTCCAACACTTAATCACTGTCCCAGCAGAGTCCTAATCCAGCTCTCAAGGCTTTTCCCTCCTTACTCTCCACCTTTCCAGACCTCCTTATATGCTGTTCCTTCTGTCCAAAAGGCCTTTTCCTTCCTTCTTTAACCTGGCCAAATCTTCAGCTGCATCCTTCAGATCCCTCCTCAGGGAAGCCCCCTGGGATTTCCCCCTCACCCTCTGTGTTTGCTGGCTTGATGCTAGTAGGATCCTGGACCTCACATTGGTCTCCTCCAGGCATTTGCTAAGGCTCAGCAGGGCAGAGATCTGGTGGAGTCTGTCTTGCTCATGGTTGGCCCCGGCACCTAGCACAGTATCCATCAGGTAGCAGGTGTGCATTTGGTGTCTGCCAGGGTGTAGTGTCAGTGAGCTGAGTCTTCAGTAATGAAGGTGGAGAAGGTGGAGAAGGGCTGAGGATGCTGTAGGCAGAGACACAGCCTGGGGAGGGGTCTGGGGAGGTGAGAAGCCCAGGGAAGGTGGCTGGAGTGGGAAGATGAGGCTGAGTGAGGAGTTGGGCTGTCCTGAGAGCCTGGTAGAACTGGAGTAACACTTTACAGCAGCTGTGTGAATGGACAAGGAGCTCTGGTAGTGTAGTGGTTACGAATTGGGCTGTGAACCTTAAGGTCAGCAGTTCAAAACTACCAGCTGCTCTGCGGGAGACAGATGAGGCTTTCTGCTCCCATAAAGATTTACAGCCTCAGAAACCCTGTACAGGGTCGCTATGAGTCGGTTCTGACTCCACGACACGTAACCACCAACCACCACCATGTGAATGGATGGCCTATAGCTGAGGACCAGTGAGGAGGGGGCTTTGGGATTCAGGCCGTGGCAGTCTTCTAGTCTTTAGATTCCACTAGGGCCTGTTGGGTAAACCCAGTTCCCCGGATCACTCTCCCCTTTGTCCCCAGCATCCTTCTTGCCTTCAACTAGAGTGTGAGTCATAGCCCAGGGCTGGCCCAGGAGAGAGGAGAAGGGGTCCCTACACAGAGCAGAGATGGACTTGGCCCTCTTCTGTCACTGGAGAGAACCCGCAGTTCAAGAGTATGGAAGCTGAGTTGAAGTGGGGTGTGGCAAATTGACTAAACTTTCCAACACTTTGAGCTTTCCAACAGTGCCCCCAGGTGCTCCCAGATCCTCCATACCAGATGCCACCAAGGCAAGGTGGGGTGGGTGGGTGGGAGAATGAGGTTTTGGGGCGGAAGCGGCTGGGTAATATCTAGGCTGACTAGAGATTTGATGATGACAAAGTAGAGCGACTTCAAAAGTGTCAGGTCCTAAGATTCTGAGACTTAACACTTTTGTATTGTCTGCAAGTTCAAAGTTAAGACTTGAGGCTCAACTTCCCTAACATTCTAAGCGTTTGAGATTCAAAGAGCCTGTAAACTTCTGTGTTTCAAAGTGTGAACTTCGAGTCTGGAAGCCTGAGAGCCCGGGCTCTGTGAAGGTGATGATGGCAGTGAGGAGGGAGGGCCAGGTGGGTTTCTGCTAATTTTGGTCCAATAGCCCTCAGCATCTGCAGAGACAGCTCAAGGTGGGCTTTAGGGACTTGGAGATGGTGTGTGGCATCTTTGATGGAGCGCTGATGACTTGAGAAACCGTTGAGGGAGGGGCAGTGCTTAACCTGTGCTCCTCAACAGGAACATTGCTGGCATTGGGGTGAGGCTGGGCTGTTGAGCATACTGCAGGACTTTTGGTGTTCCTGGCTCCTGAGCACTAAACGTTGTTGCTCCCGACCAGTGTGATCCCATGTGCAGGGGACTGGAGCTCTACCCGGTCTTGTGCCGTTCCCAGAGTCAGTTGCCTTTCAGATCATTGGGATCTATGGAGTTTTCATTGGTTAATTTTAGGAAGTAGTTCAGCAGGTCTTTCTTCCTAGTCTGTCTTAGTCTGGAAACTGCTGAAATCTGTTCAGCTCTACAGCAACACACAAGCCAACACACAGTGTACATCGACAGGTAGGTGGTGGCTGCCCTTGAGGTGCAGTGGAAGGAATCGAACCTGGGTCTTGTGCATGGAAGGTGAGAACTTTACCATGGAACCACCAGTGCCTTTAAATGTTAGTTGTGTCCCTTAATCCTTGTGAGTAACTGACCCTTAACATCTTCACACTCCGCAAGGACAGGTCAGCTCTCCATTGAGAGCTCAAAGGAACGTAGGCACCAAGGTCAGGCCAGTGGGAGCAGTGATCATGCCCACAGGGCCTAAGGGGCCAGGGAAGGGTGGGCATGTCCCTGCAGCGGAGGGCCCCTGGCCCACATCCAGCTGTCTTTGAAGCTTTGTACTCCCTGACTCAGCTTGTTGATCAGCCCTGAGCGAGGCCCTGAGTCACCACCGCCTGACTCACTGGAGAGCCATCCAGGCTACACTCCCCAAGCCAGCAAGCGAGGGCGGGAAAAGTCCGCTCACCCAAATGTCAGCACCGGTCCCTGCCTGGCCTAGGCCTGGAGCGTGATGTCGCCAGGAGACCTCTGGCTTTGAAATGTCAGGGGATCTGTGTGATGGTAGCATGCAATGCTGTGGAAAGTGCCGGAGGCTTGAGTCAGACAGATTGAGGGCTGCTTTCCCTCTCATTTGCTGTGTGACCATGGCCAGTTTCTTAACCTCTCTGAGTCCCCATTTTCCTGCTTGTCAAATGGGGATGACAATATCCACTTTACAGGGTTGGACTGAAGACCAAAGTCATCCACCAGGTAACACGTGGAAATGGAGCTTTATACAATAGAAAAAACACATCCTATAGTTATTGTTAAGTGCCCTTGAGTCAGCTCTGACTTATAGTGACCCTGTATAGGGTTTCTGAGGAGTAGCTGATGGGTTTGAACTGCCGACCTTGCGATTCAAACCTACCTTGGTCCAGTGCATTGCCCTGCAGCGCCACACCAAGCTAGCACTCTTATCATTATTTTTGCTTCAGTGGTGGGCAGTGCCCTCATGTATAGCTGAGTACACACTCGGCTTGGGGTAGATTAAATCAGTGAGTCTTTAGGTAAGAACGTAACCCTTTTATAGGGCATTGTTTTCAGGAAAAAAATAGATTAAACCAGGTTTTTGTTTTTTTTAAAAGACAGGTTTTGTGCCAATTTTGATGCTAGTAGCCCATGCCCTCATCTGTGCAGGCATTACTAATCAATCACAGCATCCTCCAGCAGAGCACCCCTGGCAGCCATGGTTAATCAGTTGGAAACCTATTTTCTACCTTGGGTTAGGTTTCTAGAGTCCTTCTTAGGAAGGTAACTGGCTGCATGTGGAGGTGGTAGGTTCTACATATTCTCATTTCCCTTCCCTGGGTCTCACTGTTCTCATCTGTGAAAGGGGACAGTTAGAGATGATTCCTATGAAACACCCAGCCACGGTCCAGGCAGTGGGTGCTCAGTGATGATAATAATGACAGTTGACACTTAATGTGCTGGGTGCGTTGTTCCAACCATCGCCTTCATCCTCACCCACAGAGGTAGGTGTGATCAAAGTCCCATTTTACAGATGAGACAAATGAGGCTCAGAAGTTAAGTAATAGCCCAGTATGGCAGTGCTAGGATGAAAACCTGAATTTCTCTGACTGACCAGCCAGCCTCTTATCCAGAATCCACATCCACCTGCAAACCCTGGGTAAGTGCCCAGTTCTCCACATGCTCACCCAGGCTCCATCCTCTTTCAAGTTGAAGTCCAGGTTTGCATCACAGCTCCGGGTGTGCTGGTGAGGCCTCCCCCAGGGTCTAACTTGCAATCACCTCTCAGTGGCTTGCTCTGTGGACCCCTGAAAGGAGCTTGTAGTCCCCTCTCCTTCTGGCTTGCTCCTTCCCTGCCACTGCCCACTCACTGGCCATGGCTGAGACAGCACTTCTGCTGCGATGAGAACCAACCATGCATGATGGGAGCCAGTCGGCTGTGAAGGCCTCCTCTCTGCTTTGTGGGGCAGGGGGGAGACGAGCCTGGGCAAGAGGCGGGAGGTGTTGGTTGTTCAGTGACCTCGGACAAGTCAGTCTGTGTCTCACGCTCGGTGCAGGATGGGAAGAGGTGGCCAGTGTGGTCTCCAAGGGCACCTCAGTACCAGGTTCTCAAGGTATGCCCACTTGCCTGCCCCTTTGTGGCTGTGGCCTGGTGCTCGGGTCCCCCAGCATTGCTCTTTTGCCGCAGGTCTGCTGCTCTGGTCCCCCATCTGGTTCTGGTTCTTTGCTTGCTAAGAATGGGATCTGTGGGTGCTCTTGTGTCTAAGTGGCTGTGTGCCAGGCTTAGTCTCTGCCTCTTGGACCTATTCACCTGCTCTTCACTGAGCAGAGAGGGTGGTGCCCACATGGTCTTTCCGTAACGCTGTAGTGCTATTGTTCATTGGTTTTGCCCAGCCTATCTGCTGAGGCGTGAAT